CACACAAGCAATACGACACCGCAGAACAGCCAGTCAAGCAACACAACTCATAACAACACAACTCGTAGCAACACACGACAGCATCTTTGTGACCATGGCAACGAAACATCACACAGCAACATGTGGCTGCACGACCACGCAACATCAAGCACACAGCCCATAAAATATAGAGCACAGCCAGAAAACAGTCAGTCAGCACGGAGCTGTGGTCGCGGGTGAACGACTACAGTTGAAGGGAGCGATAGCTTGTGAGTGGTACGCACACACCACAAGACATCACTTTTCAAAGGTAGAGAACCATATTTTGTAGTGAGAACTACCGCTGAATGGAGCGATTGCTTGTGAGTGGTACACACACACCACAAGACATCACCACTCAGCCGCGTACGAACGACATCCGCTCGTTCGTCGTCAACGGCGCAACGCCAAGCGCGCCAGCAAGAGCGCTATCCGGCGCCGCCAACAGCGCAACACCAAGCGCACCCGCAAGAGCGCTACCCGTCGCCGTCAGCAGCGCACGACAGGCGTACCGAGGCTAGCAGCGCTATTCAACGGCGTCAACAGAGCGCTGCTCACCAGAATTGAAGCCACGCCACTACCGCCTAACGGGCCCATAACGGGACAGGAAGCCGTTACCCAACCACTGCAAGTGACGCCAGCAAATTTTGTTATTTGTTATATGTTCTTTATAGAAATTAAGAAAATTAAATTAATAAAGTGCGATTTACCAGAGCCCCGAAACTACAAATTTATTGTAACGAACCCTGGACACGGCGAGTATACCCCAGCATTGTAGAAGAAGCGGCGGGGCGAATAAAACGCTTCGTTACAATTGGCGCCCGAGCAGGGACCCTTGGTAAATTCTACACGTGTAAAGAAAAAATTATTATATGTTGGATACGAACAAAATGGCGGAAGTGATCAACACAGCATGGCTAGATGATATACCTAAGAAGCAATTAGTATCCATCGCACAGGAATTGGGAATCGAGTGCGCGGGTACCGCCAGAGAAATACGCAAGCGCATAACGGCGCTGGCGGCCAAGGCGCACACTGACCCAGAGATCTATGCCAAATTCCAGGCGATGGGAATCACCAACAGAGGCAGCGAGGTTGCCTCGGAAGACGAGGAGGAGCAGAAGACGCCAGTACCACCGGATGAACGTACGGGCAGTACGACTACTCCTATGGAAAACACGACACAGAGCCAGTTGGCGGTACCGCTACACCAGCACCAGCTGCCATCAGATCAGCCACCAATTTACCAGCACCCGCCGACAACGACCGTCGGGCCGAACGCAGGTACAGCCAACCCTGCAAACCAAGAACCGACCCACACGTTTGCACCTATCATCGACCAGGTAAGGAAATGGTCTGTAAAATATGACGGTGGGCGAGACCCGCTAGTGGTTGTAGAGCGATTGGAGGAACTGGCCGAGGTGTATGCCTTGAACGTGGACCTCCTGCCAAAAACCATGCCCGAGTTGCTGTGCGGCACCGCACTTCACTGGTACCGTAACAACAACGAAGACTGGAGTAGCTGGATAACCTTCAAGCGCGACTTCCTACGCTTCTTCCTGCCAACTCGGTATTTCGAACGCCTCGAGGACGATATACGGCAGAGAAGGCAGCACCCACGGGAGAAATATAAGGAGTACGTAATCGCGATACAGAACCTGATGCGACATGCCGGGTATAGCAGCGAGCAGCGTTTGGAAAGAATTTTCCGCAACATCCACCCCGATTACTTGTTATACATTCGGCGGCGGGATTTCACCACTCTATCTGAACTACTCACGCTCGCGGAGGAGTACGAGTGTATCCACGAAGGCCACAGACGGACGGCGGAGACATCACGCCGGGAGGTGGCAAGGCATGTCACCGGCGACAACCCGATGAGGACCACCACTCAACCGGATGAACCATCCCATCGCACCCCACTGGTGCGGACGACATAACGCCACCCGCCAGTTACACCACACCGCTCAACGACGGACGCACATTGTCGTGACCTATCCAGAAACTAAAGCTTCGACCCCAACAACGTATGCAGGAGATGTGGGCAGGAAGGACATTATGCCAGGCGATGCCGCAACGCACGGAAGATATTCTGTTGGGAGTGCGGTCGAGCCAATGTCCGCACGATCGAATGCTGTCGCCGGCGTCAGGGAAATGGCGGAGGGCTCCACCAAGAACAAGGCGCGGTGAGCCCACCGAACCCAGCGCCGAGACACCCATAACCATGCGTCAGGATCACGGTCGACTGTACGCCCTAGTCCACTTGGGTAGGGAGCTAGTCGAGGCCGTCATCGATACTGGCGCCTCGAAGAGTTTCATATCCACCACCTTAGCGGAGTACATGGCAACCGTAGGAAGCGGAGAGAGGATAACGGTAGCCCTCGAGATACACATGGCCGACGGAACGAGTAGCAATATTTTCGAGGCCATGAGGATCGAGGTTCGTCTCGGACAAGCGATGCACCACGCAGTATTATACATCATGCCAGGCGCAATAGACGACCTCATACTCGGCCTAGACACATTGGGAAGCATGGGAGCTGTAGTATCCTGCGGCGGTCAACAAGTTATACTCACCGAACCGACTACACAGCCGGCACCATCTGCTACCTCACAAACCACGGAGGATAACACCTCACTCGCAGTAAGTAATACCATCCCGCCGAGGACGGCTAAGAGGAAGCACCGAAGGAAGGGCAGATCCAGGAGCGAGAAGGTCAATAGAGTCGACCATGATGAACCCAGTGGAAACGTCGATAAGCGCACCTCCGCGGAGATGCCACACA